GAAACACAGGGTCTGAGTTTTTCCAATATTTAATTTAAAACCTGAATAAAGTCCAAATTGGTGAAAGCAGGACATGAGGTTAGGTAGACTGGCATCTGGGTCAGATAAGGTCACCAGAACATCATCAGCGTATAAACTGGTTTTGTATTCTCTTCCCTTAAAAAGGATTCCCTTAATTTCTGGATCTTCCCTAATTTTTTGAGCAAGTGGCTCTATGAAAAGTGCAAAAAGAATTGGACTCAGAGGGCATCCTTGCCGGCATCCTCGTTCCAGTGGGAATGTTCCTGAAAGGCCACCGTTTATTTTGATCCGGGCTACTGGCGAACTGTATATTGATTTTAAACAACTTATGAGAGTATTATTAAAGCCAAACCGCTGTAGGACCAGATATAAGTATTCCCATCTTACAGAATCAAACGCTTTTTCAGCATCGAAACTGATTGCTAAAGATTTCAAATTATTTCTGTTCATAATGTCGAGTAATTGTAACGTTCGCCTCACATTATCCTGTGTGCGTCTATTTTTAATAAATCCTGTCTGGTCTGTATCAATCAGTTCAGGGATGATATTTTCTAGCCTACTAACAATAATTGAAGTGAATATTTTATAATCAGTATTCAACACCGAGATAGGCCGGTATGAGCTACATTCACTTTTATCCTTTCCTGGTTTAGGTATAACAGATATTATCGCTTGTTTCCAGGATGGAGGGGTCTCACCTCCTTTAAGCACATAATTAAAACAATTTAGTAGCAAAGGTCTTATAGAATTCCTAAACATTTTATACCATTCAGCTGGTAATCCATCACCACCTGGTGACTTACTTGTTTTCAGTTTTGAGATGGCTTTATCGACCTCTGCCGGTGTTATTTCCGCAGATATCCAATTATTTTGCTCTATGCCAATTGAGGGGAGATCTAACGAGTCCAGAAACTGCTTCACTAAGGAAAGGTCGGTTAATTTGGGTTGACTATATAATTTCCTATAGAATATTTCAAATGAATTATGTATTTCTTCCGGGGAGAAACTCAACTGATTAGAAATAGGATTTTTAATTTTAAAGATAGACCTGTCTAGTTGTTGTTGTTTTAGTCTCCAGGCTAATATTTTTTTTGCTCGAGGTCCATTTTCATAATAAGTTTGTTTTACGTATTTGAGATTAAGTATAACCTTATCATTGAGTTTTCTATTTAGCTCCCCTTTTATTGCTGCAATTTGTTGTAGCAAGGAGGGGTCTTTGGTTTCAATATGTTTCTGCTCTAGAATATTTAGCTGTTTTGTCAGGTCATTGAATTGCTCAGATTTCTCTTTTTTCTTCCTTGATGCCCACATAATAATTTTCCCACGTAGTACTGCTTTTGCCGCATCCCATAATATACTTGGGGACAATTCATTGCTGTCTTTGAAATCTAGGTAATCTGTGAATTCCTTGTTAACAAATTCTTCAAATTTATCATCGTTCAACAAAGCTGTGTTAAGTCTCCAAATTGTAGTCTTAGGATGAGAATCTAAACGTAGTGTCAAATATACCCCTGAGTGATCCGACACGTCTCTGGTACCAATACTGCAGTCTAGGACCCTATATCTGTCTGCTCTAAATAGAAAAAAATAGTCAATTCTTGAATAAAAGCCATGTGAGTGAGAGTAAAAGGTGAACTCCTTAGCCAATGGGTGGCATTCCCTCCAGACATCAAATAGGCCTATCCTTTTTATCATTTTCTTTATATACAAAGATTCTGGGTTGATTTTTTTTAAAGGGTTTGAGGAATCCAAGGAAGGATGCAGTTGAGCATTCCAGTCCCCTCCACATATCAAAACACCAGATGCTTCTGCCAATATGAGGTCGAGCATTTTATCAATAAAGGTTCTGTCATGTCCTGGGGGTCTATATACGTTAAGTAAAGTTACTTCATTTGAGTCTAATGTTCCCTTTACCAGAACAAAACGACCTTCCTTGTCTGTAATTTGTTTAGATACCTGGAAGTCCACATTATTTGCAATTAATATTGCCACACCCCTAGCGTGTCCATTTGAGTAGGATGAGTAAAATGTCCTTTTAAAACCCATTTTTTTAAATTTTTCATGGCTCTCTTTGATTAAGTGGGTTTCCTGCCAGAAGATTATTTGTTGTTGTTCTCTCTTCATTTTAGCTATAAGCTTTCCTCTTTTAATTGGATTCTGTAACCCGTGAACATTAATAGTTATAAATTTATATTGCTGTTGGAACATAAATCCTTAAATGAATAAATCCCTCTAACTTACACATCCAAGGTGACCATAACAGCAGAACATTTATAAAAATCAAAAACAAAGAACCTGTAACTTCTAACCTTACAACAGGAACGACTTCCACAACAAAACGACTCATTAAGGAGTCTTGGGTGAAGAGAAAATTCCCCATGGGACTCTTCTCATGGGGGGTCTCTCCAGTGCAAACTGACATAGCTCGTACGAGTATAATCTCAGTGCACGATCAGAGCCTTTAAACCGGCTCCCAAAAACAGTCATGTATTATCTACTTTATTTTAAATCAGTAACGTATTTCTTAACATTGGCAAAGGCTAAACAAAGGATTATTATGATAATGTCTGACAGCGTCTCTATACGCAAATATTCATATCTTAGTCCACATTCTGGGTCAGTCATTGTGATCCTTATCTTACCGCAATAGTTTTAACGAGCGGTGCTTAGCTTGAAAAGGCGGTTGTGTCTCCAGCTTCAAGGCGAAATCCGCTGAGTTTCTTCCGTGCTCTCTCTCTGTGTGCGTCGGTGTTCCGACGTTTGGCCTCCACCGTCACCCAGGACAGTCTGTCCAATATCTCCATCGGCGCCGCCGCAGGTACACCAACGTTGCTATTGCACTCGGGAGCGAGACCTCTCCTCTGCAGGTCCTTCAAGGCTTCCACCGCGCTGCCATACGTGATCGGGCCATCATCAAAAAACACACGGAGTTTAGCCGGTGGCGGGGTTTGGAAACGGAGACCTTTTTCTTTCAGAAGTTTTCTAATAGGGGCGTAAGCTTTCCTCTTCTTTTGGGTCTCTGCCGGGTAGTCCTGATCGAAATAAACCCGCTGCTGGCTAAGACGAATCTCTCCTTTCTTCCACGCGGCACGAAGCACCAAGTCCCTGGTTCTAAATGCAAGAAAGGAGATCACCACGGAGCGGGGGTTCGCATTTTGCGGTGGTTTGGGACCCAAAGCCCGATGGCAGCGCTGTATGGCTAAATCGATATCCTGGAGTGACAGCTCGGCCTTAATGAAGCCTTCCATAAATTCCAGCAGATTATCTCCCTCTGTGTCTTCCGGAATCCCGTACACACGGATGTTGTTTCTACGTGAACGTGCTTCTAAATCAGTCAGTTTGGCTTGAATTTTATCTTGGTTGTTTATAGTTTGAGACAGCACCTCTTTCGCCGCCGCGGACCACTCCTCCAATTCTGCCACACGTTGTAACGACTCCTCCGCTCTCTTTTGGTTCTCCTTTAAATCCAACACGATTTCGTTTAGCTTTCCATTAATTTCCTCTCGGAAACTTCTTAAATCTCTTTTCATGTCGGTAGAGAAGTCTTCACGAAAGCCGCACAGCTCTTCCTTCATGTCTGCACGGATAGCTACAATCTCTTTGTGAATAGCTCCGATGCTAGCTTGAAGCCCCTCCATAGCCATGTGCTGCGTAGTTACGCCTTCGTCTAGTAGTGAATTTCTCTCGCTTGTTTCGTATGTCTGTTTTAATTTAACGTTACTTTTCGATGCCTTTCCCCTTTTCATCATAGAATAATCGGTCTTAGAGGGTAAATTCAGCTCTGGCAAAGGGGAAATTAGTCGACCGAGTTGGGAGCTCTAGTTCAATGCGTCTGCTCATCTCAGCGCCATAACCGGAAGTCANAACACGGGGGAAGCTACTGGGATTGTACACAGATGGAAATGTTTGGCAGTTTAATGTTTATATTCCCCACGATGAAGCTGGATTTAGCCACTGGTTTTAGTCGACGCAGCAGCATGTCCTACTGTATCTATCAACTTACTTACATGATAGACTAAATATGTAATACATTAAAAGCTGCTTCTTTACAGCAGTGAATTAATCAGAGCTCGGGTTGAAATCCTCTACACTCCCATGTTAAAATGTCATGTTTTCTGATAGAAGATTTTGAATCATTTGGAAACAATCTGCACATTTACTACGACATGTACACTTTTCAATTCAACTGAAAAACACATTTATCTGGGAGGGGGGGGAATATATATGAAAATCCTAAACACATATAAAGGTGTTTATACAGGCTGTGGTTCTTTGGTTGTGTACTGTTAGACCCTCATGCTCTGTGTTGAACCACCTTATAATTCAGTTTCAGTCCTCTTAGGTTCACACCTTTCAACATTTAAACTGAAATAAGGTTCACCTGATCTGGCTGGATTTTCCTGCCATTTGTATCCTTCAACTAAAATATAATTTGCAGAAAGGTGGCAAAGAACCTCAAATACATCATTGCTCAATTCCACATTATTATCCAATCCATCCAGTCCATCTGCAAAGTGAGCACTGTTCGTTATTCAGCCATAAACTGGGCTCGTCCAGCTGATCGCTGCAAAATTTTATACAGCAGAGCAAAAATAATTATCAGTGTTTAAGAGCCACAGACCACTAGGGGAGACCTTCAGAAGGAGGTCTCCCCTCCTTCTGAAGTCGCTTCAGGACATGTACCAAGGTATGAACAATTGTGCCTGCTAATTAAACAATTAGCAGGCACAATTGTTTAAAAAATAAAATAAAAAAAAAAACAAAAAAAACAATATGTAATGCATCCAACCATCATGGCCTGTTTGCACTTTCATCATGTAAGACTCCACTGCTGAAGAAAAAGCATGTTTAAAAGACAAGCTGGGAGCTCGTTAGAGAGGCTGCCAGGAGTCTGACATTAGTTGATTCATGTTGGATTTATTTATGTCTTGACACTAAGCTACCATTTCAGCAGCAGTGAAAGGTTTGTGTCTCCACAGGAACACCAAGCTGTGGATCTGTATGGAGTACTGTGGGGGGGGGTCGCTTCAGGACATGTACCAAGGTATGAACACACTTAGTGCTTTCTATGGCTGACCTTGAAGTCGTCCTGTTTAACTGACATTCATTTTGTTCTGATATGTTTCTCATTCTGAGGAATTTTCTTTTCAATTTATACTTTGGCACTTATCTTATAAAATTAGACCAAACTGTATGATGTAAACTTAAAATAAACTTTATAATTAGCAAATTCCAGAATTCTTCCACTTTCTTATTATTGTGAAAGAAAGGCCAACTTTAGGAAAAAAAAAAAAAAAAACATTCAGGTTTTTTGGTCTCTAAGCTGTTAATCAAACTGTTGTTTGCAGTGACGGGTCCACTAAAAGAGAAACAGATCGCATTCGTGTGCAGGGAAACCCTTCAGGTAAGGCTTTTTGGCTCAAAGCATCTCACTGCTGATGATTTTTTATTAAAGTTAACTTTAAACAGAAATATTGCTGCAGCCTACCAGCTAAACCTTAGTGTCTTACTGTCATTGTGGCACACTGATAGACTCTGTGGTCTTCACTGGGTAATCAGGCTTTGTTAATCCTCTCATGGAGCCATGAATGAACCATAATGACCTTCCCTGTAAATGTAGCACCAGTTCTAATGTTATCTCAATGCTCTTTGCAAGACAAACAGGCCGAGTTCATATCCAACAGGGATGGCAGGTTGTCTTGACAACATGCCCAGTACAGCTGTTTCTTCTGGGTTCTAGATTTGCTGCTTAACTGTTTTAGACAGTGAGTCGGATGCTTTATAGATCTGGATCTCCCTGACAGTTGAATCTTCCATAATCTTTAACATACTTGAATTAAGATAATTCATAATAAAAACTATATTTGTATGGAGTTTATCTAAATTACTTTCTGCCTTTTTTTCAGGGTTTGTATCACTTGCATGAAACAGGCAAGATGCACAGAGACATAAAGGTATGGCATCTCTGAGTCTGACTGGGGTAGAGATAAAATCTGGTAAACTGTGGGATATACTGTGTATGCAAACTTAGATGTGTGTCTGCATCTTCTAGGGAGCTAACATCCTTTTGACTGAACGAGGTGACGTCAAGCTGGGCAAGTAGAGATCTGCACTTACACACCTTCACAGACACTTACACTGCATGAAAAAGCACTAGCTCCACTGGGAGATAATTTCACTTCTAATAACAGTTTTCTCATGTAACAAGTGAAACAATCTACCAATGGAACTAGAACTTTTTCATCAATATTAAGCAATTATTGACTTAAAATATTGTCTCATTTCTTGCTGTAAGGTTACTTGTAAGATAATTTTGTTCTGTATTATTTCAAGTTTACAAAGATATTTAGGCAACACTTTATTTGACGGGATGTGCATAAGACTGACATGACTGTCATAAACATGACTTAACACCTGTCATGAAGATGAAGGAGTCTTCATGTCTGTTTACAAGTGTTGTCATGAAGTGTCATTCGGTAAATAATGACACTTATATTGCAAAGTTGCATTAAAAGTCCATTAAAATGGTCAACTTTGCATTACAACAGTCATGAAGACTCCTTCATGTTCATAACAGCTGTTATGTCACGTGTATGACAGTGTCATGTCAGTCTGATGCGTCAAATAAAGTGTTACCTAAATGTCTTTGTAAACTTGAAATAATACAGAACAAAATGATCTTACAAGAAACCTTACAGCAAGAAGTAAGAGCATGTTTTAAGTTAACTAGACCAAAATTACTTGGTAATAAGTTGTGTTTGTCCAGTGTTCACATCGACTCCATGGCATGTCTGAAGCTATCTGTGCTGGATTTCAGCCTCCAGCATGACTGTGTGTTTGTATTCTTCCTGCTGTGTGTAGCTGACTTTGGAGTGGCAGCAGAGATTAGCGCTTCAGTGGCCAAACGAAAGTCTTTTATTGGAACTCCTTACTGGTGAGTTGACCCAAACTGTTGATGTTGGAGGTGTCTGGGACAGACAGTGGAGTTCATGCTTCAAACAATCAATCTAATGTTTCATACTTCAGTCTGACAGGCAGAGCGTGGTGCAGGTTTGGCCTAACAAGCAGCTTGGACTCCATGTCTTTAGAATTGCTAAATGATTCATTTAACAGACTGTGCTTGAATAGTGAACCTCTGTTTACTTCAGACAACTAATGTCGGTTTGTCAAAGCATATTTTTTTTAAGGTTAAGTATGTCATTTACACATATTTTATTTTTTTTTTTTAATATTTTTTTTATTATTGTATGTCCCTCCTGTAAAAAAATACTTGTTCTATAATTTCTCATTTATTCCATTTGAATGCTTTGCTTTGCTTTTTTTCCCCCTGAAGTTAAGGTTGGAATGTCCCCAAGAAGGGAATATTCTCTACTGTTCTTAATCCGGCCTCGGCTCCTTTTCCTTTCCAGCTAAAGAGACATTTTTGAAAATAGTTTTCCAGGCCTTTTAAACATATTTCAGAGGTTTTTTTTTTTTTTGGACATTGGTTGTTTATTCTTGACTTAAGTTTGCAAAACTAAAACAGCAGCATTACATGAAAAAGACGATTTCCCAAGATGATAAATGAAGTAGCTTTATCAAGGATGTGTCTGGATTGTGTTAAACATTCAGGTTAGCATTCCTGTTAGTTTTTAGACCTATCACTTTTTCTTTTTTTTCCCCTCCTCGTGTATTCTCTCAAACGTTTGAAGAAATTACTGCTCTCCATGCAAAGTATTCTTCTTGAACTGAAATGAAAATCTGCAAAATATCCTCAGAAATCCTGTGAGACTTGCAGGAAGCCTTGTGCGCCATAGAGCTGTTCATGTTGTTGTTCTTCAGCTGTGTTCATGGGTTTGTTGGAAGAATCAAACAGTCTTAAATTAAAACGCTCAACAGAGCTTTACTTCATCAGAATTACAAGGTACATTAATATACAGTGTATGCAGAGATGCATGTCAGATGGTAGTATAGGCCTATTTTATTTTTCCTCTCTTTCTCATCTGTTCTTCCAGCTCTGTGAGAACTTTAGCATTTTATCATGACACTGTTCAACTGGCTTAATGTTATGTTAGCATGTAAAATGTAAGTTCATGACACTTGAAATATATTACTATTCTTATTCCACTCTTTATATAACAAAGGACTTTAGCAAATGATCCGTTGCTATAGAAACATTGCACACACTCGGCTTTCTAATCAGACGACCAGACACAGATGTGGTCAGCATTTCATGGATATTGAGCTGTTAGCATGTCATCAGAGTCAAAGAACTGTCACACAGCAACAGTCTTCAGTCAGAAGCCTCTTCAGATTTATTGCAAGACTGACTGCTACTGGAGCTCCTACCTGCCAACAGCACCACCATCCAGAATGATTCATTGAAGAGATCTATCTGATCTACAGCAGAGTGAGATAAGGACTGGTTCCCACCAGTCAGGAATATGAGAACATTCTCTCTCTCTCTCCCTCTCTCTCTCTCTCTCTCTCTCTCTGTTTGTGCTGAAGCTTACACTGATTTTGGAACCTTGTACGGAAACAGCAGGAGCAGAAACACAAAAGACGCACTCTCACACACACTCACACACAGCAGGACTAAACTTGCAGAGGACACAGAACCTTTCCGCTTTTATTAGAACCAGCTCCAGTGAATCCAAACAACCAGCATGCATCATAAACATATGGGGTCATAGAGTGTGTAAAATCTATTTTGAAATATGTTGTTTGTTACATTGCTCTGTCAGCTGACTCAGAAAACCTTAAACTCGGATGTCTTATGGATCCTAAAGTGTTTACTTCACTCTGACCACTGGTTTCACTGGTCTGACCAGCAGTCTCCTCCCCTTTCCCTGTTCAGGATGGCCCCAGAGGTGGCTGCAGTGGAGAAGAAGGGCGGCTACAACCACTTGTGTGATATCTGGGCTGTTGGCATCACTGCCATCGAGTTGGCTGAGCTCCAGCCGCCCATGTTTGACCTCCACCCAATGAGGTGAGTCAGCACAGACAGCTGGCAGAGTGACTCAGACAGGAGACAACTGGACTCCGGAGAACAATACAGAAAACACATTATGGCGAGCAATAAAGGTCAATTTATCCTCTGTAATGAAATGTGTTTCAGAGCATTGATGCTGATGTCCAAAAGCAGTTTCCAGCCTCCAAAACTAAAGGATAAAACCAAGTGGTAAGTTTTACTGAGCTGCTTAAAAATGATGCAGAGTAGCAGGTGAAATGGTCCAAAGATGAAGATGAACCTTTCTGTGAAACAGGAAATTATCGTTCATGTAGTTTGTCAGACAGTCTGACTTTTTTTAGATTATAATTTGTTCTTATTGGAATCTTTCTTAGCAGAACTTATACATGGATTACATTTTAAATCCATATAGCTGACATATAGACAGTCTGCAATCGTGATGAGAAATTAGAAGATATTCTTCTTTTCTTATTAGTAAATATAAAATAAACATGGAATATATAGGTAATTAAAATTCTGTGAATGAAACAAATGTTCATATAGGCCTTACAGATGAAACAAAGAAAAAAGTTAAATCCTGATGGAATGTCTCATTTTTAAAACCTGTTGTCCTTCAAATGAATCATTTCTGTGATAAGCCCGTTGGCAGACATCAGGAGATCACGAGGCTTTGGGGCCGTTTACCGGGGCATTGCTACTGTCTGTCACAGAGAGACATTAGTTTCTTTTGCTTCATTTTCTAATAGAATTTTTTTTTTTTTCAATTTTTCAGCACACTTTTCAATCTGTGCTTAAAACGTCTGAGCAAAATGGAGAAATTTAAGAAAAAAACACTGAACTAAAAACTTGTGCTTTTAGATTAGTGAGTTTGAAATGGTCAGATAAAGGACGTGGTTCTACTACTATTATTTAGTTATAGTCTCTGATTATATGTTGTATTTAGGAGTATTGATGTGTAGACTTATTAACTAAACTAAAGTGAGGTGGGATTCAGTGAATACAAACTTCCCTCAGCTCCAGTGTATGAGTGTGTGGCGTATGTGGAGGTTTGAGGTCACTTTGTTTACATTGTATTTAGTTATTTTTGTTTAATATTTGCATGTTTGAAATTAGAAAAAAAACAACAAATGACACCTGAGGGATGCAACTTTACACAAGAATTGGACAAAAGACAGGTGTGTGTTTTATGAAAGGACTATCAAATTTTGAAGAATTAGAAATTGTGGTTTATATATTATTAGTATGTCCACATGCAGCCAGGGGACAACCATGTCAGTAAGTGTTAAAGTGGTACTAATGAAACTTTTGGGAAAAGACCACACCTGGCCTCCCACTCCCATCTTATGCCTCATAGCAAAGCTTCTACACATAAAATCCTCTTTCTCTCCTTTAACCTCCAGATTCCCTGGTTTTCACCCACACTGAAGGGCATTCAGGCTTACTTGGAAAGCCACATTGAACTCTAACCAAATGTCTTCCTTTCCGTTTGGCCTTTACTAACTAGGAATGATGACAGAAAACCCAGTTCAGGATCTCTCATGGTTTGGGGGATTCAGTAATTGACTTTTGGGATACTATCAAAACACAGAGATTGATTTAAAGCAGTAAAATCAGTTTCAGTTGTCAAGCAGCAGAATTTGGGAGGCAGTTGTTTAGAAAAGGGTTAATATTTTTACAGGACCAAAACCTTAAAGCCTTTGTCAGTTTAAACCTGGATCTGACTATTTATCAGATATAATAAAAGGTTCCTTGTCTCAAGCCTTTTGCTCAGCCAGTGTTCCTCAGCGATATTAAAGACTAACTGTCACTCTTAAAGCTGCTTCAACCAACTCCTTACCCTGAGAGGTTAACATCAGCTCTTCATCTGGTTACCGAGATTCCTAAACCTGCTGAGTTTCACCCTGACCTGGATCTGAAGAAAATCCTTCTTTCTGGTTTAAGGATCCCCACCCCTCTCCCTTCAATGAATTAGTCAGATTAAGTAGCCATGCGGTCAGCTAGGATTCACAGACCTCACCCATTAACGGTCGATCTCTTTCTGTTTTGCAACTTGCCCTTGACTCTGAGTCAGGCATCATTAGTGACTCGTATGGAGCCTCAGGGATGTTGTTTTAATTACATTGGGCTTAGGACAACCTTTGAAAACCTCCATAAATTTATGAACTATACCTAAACACCATTTTTACCACCACTCAAATAATTGAAGGCCCAAGTCTAAGATTTTAGATGCTTCTTCAGTAATTATTTGCAAGTGCAGCTTAATTCAGTAGTGCAGATTCAAAGAGTAAAATTAAATCAGTTTAACTAACATGTTATTCACTAATGCTGGAACTGAAGGATGCTGAGTGGAGGCTATTGGAGACCGAGCGGTTTTTATACACCAGTCAGATTGGATCTTCTGGAAAATGTCTTAAAGATTCCTTGAGTGGAAGGCAGACTGGAGTTCAGTCTTCTTTTCCTCTGATGGATTCTCACTGACCACATTCTTTGCCTTTGTGGTTTGAGCCACAGTCTTTGGAACTTAGAGGTTACAAAGCACAGTCTTCAGCCCATCTGTGGCCCCGGGGCGTCTACTCCTGCTGCGGGATTCTTTGTCCATCTTGATCATAGCTCAGTGTCTGGCAGGAGGAAACAACCTAACATTATTATTTAAAGTGTTTATACTTTATTCACAATCATATTATGCATGGAAATAATGAATGTTCTCACCTGTTGTTTTTATTCCTCCTGTCACTCTCCTCTCTTTGTAGGTCTGCAGGTTTCCACAGCTTTGTGAAGATGGCTCTCAATAAAAACCCCCGTAAAAGACCTTCAGCAGAGACACTGCTGCAGGTTAAATGGCTCTTCCTACTTTATAATTAATCAGCCACCAGAGTTTACAAAAAGATGTCTTGAATATTTATGAGCTCAATTTGAGCTTCAGCTATACAGACAAAAATAAGTCTGACAGAGGTTCTGTGACTGAAGAAAGGTTGAAGTTAAGATGGAATTTATATTGTAAAGCATTAAAATGATGTAATGAAAACTGCAAAAAGAATCTAGTTCTAAATTTTTCTAAAGAACTAAACAAAAACTGCTTAGTTTTTTTTAGTTCTTCAGCTCAGAAAAAACTGTAAAGCCGTTGTTGGAGCAGTGACTTGTGTCTCTGAACCATTTATGGAGAAAGCTCAGCATATCTTGTTGTGGTTTCAGCATCCGTTTGTGACCCAGCTGCTGACCCGGAACCTGATCATTGAGCTGCTGGACATGGCCAACAACCCAGAGCTGCACAGTGCTCTGACACACAGCATCGATGACAGCGAGCTGGAGGTCAGTGACTGAGACTCATCAGGGCTCAGCAACATTTAAATATTTCTTTAAAGCTGCATAATGAAACTTTTACAAAGAATATATTTTTATACATATTTGCTAAAACTCCTTCCATGTTGCGACAGTTTGGTATGAGACAGATAATCTGTGATGAGATTGATCTCCTCCACCTCCTTCCTGTGCTGCTATTGCAGTCTGAAGAAATGCATCGCTCAACCAAAAACAACCAATCAGAGCCGGGAGAAAGGTCTTAGTCAATTAAACTCATGTACTCTGCTAAATGTGCTAATGACAAAGAAGCCAACAATGTGAGTTTCCCAGAAGTCTTTGGGATCATCAAGATGAATTTAGGAGAAGCTGAGTCCAGCTCGTTGTTTTTCACCAGCAGTGGTTTTCATCTTTGGCCATTTTTGAACTTTATAAGGTCTTTTGTGACCTCTTGTATGAGTCGTCACTGAGTTCTTGGGATAATTATGGTTGGCTGAGCGCTACTGGATCACCACTGTTCCATGTTTTCACCATTTGTGAATAATAAGTGTGACAAACATGCAAAAAAAAAAGGAAATCAGGAAGGAGATGAACATGTTTTCACAGCACTGCAGTTAAAATTTCATTTCGTTTTCTGTATTATTACTGCCATCCCTGTGTGAAACACTGATGGGTCTGGTGCTGTTGACAGATTGGGGAAATGTCTCCAGACAAGATTCAGTCAGCAGGAAAACATCTGCCTGTAGAGAGGACCCCTTCTGAAGAACAATGTGAGTTCAACACACACACATACACACACACACACACACACACAGACATGAGTCACAATCCAAACAGAGTCCAACCTGATGGAAGCAGGTTTTTCCTGTCCCAGTCCTCTCTTTAGATGTTGGTCTCTTGGTTTCTGCTTCCAGTTGTTTCTGACCTTGATGCAGGAGGATGTAACATCGCTCTCATCGTATCTGTCTGACAGAGAATCTGTGATGGCAGCTTTAGATGATTAGGGTGATGGCAGGAAGCCTTCAAACATGAAAACCTTGAAGCTTATCACCAAAAATCAATAAATCATACAAATACACACAAAATACTGCTCGTCAACCATAACCAGGACTTGACTGTTGTAATGCCAATAAAAATTGCATTGCAATGTTTTGTCTCATTTCCTGTCAGAAACAAACTCTTTGATTGAATAAAATACAATTTAAATCTAAATATTTTGGGGTATGAATAATTTTGGGCTTAACAGTAGATGTCAGAAAGAAAAATAGCACCAGTGTTTCCCAACGTTTAACTCTCAGTCAGTTTGGCTGTTTTATATGTTGGTATATTTTCTGTAAGAACGTCCAGTTTGTTCTTGAACTCCATTGTATGTGAACGTACACTTGATGGTGGTTCTTGTATAGCAGACGGAGAAATTCCTGTGTTTGCTGCTTGTACTTGCTGAAAAGTGGCTCCATTGTCTCCCATGACCCTCCGTGTCCAGAGCGGCATGAGCCATATTTGGGAGGAGCACAACAAGCTCTCAGTCAGGCTGCTGCTGTCCTGTAGCTGCTCTGTACATGTGGGATGAAGGCAGAGGATGGCACTAAGAACATGCCTGCTGTGTGACAGACACAAGTGCTTCTATGTAGTCACCCAGTGACTTCATTCTGCCGGCCTGCACAGTGTGTCTGGTGTAACAGACTAGCCTGACATTCAGACCACTGCTTTGTCATGCATCAGTCTGGTGTTCACACATAAGCCACAAACACCCATACCTCAGATTTACTTCAGGCGACTCAGAGGGCTGCTGCTGCAAAGCTTGGCTCTGTGTTTGAAGTGTCAGTGTGGAACTGGGTTGGGTAAGAATGTGGTGAGTTGGTGGATCGCAGGCCTGTGCATGCTGACAAAATGTTTGGCTCAGAACGTCATAAATATTCCTTCAAAAATGAAGAATGTATCCATTATCAGTAACACAAGCTGCAAGTTCCATTCTGGCGTAGAATGAAATTCTGTATCTTGGGACTTTAATTGTTTTCAGAGTTCATATGTTCAAAGAATCTAACCTTTTATATTCCTCTTGGCAGGAACCCTCAGCATCTTACAAAGATAACAGATTAAGTAAACATGTCTGCATCCAAACTTTCTCTCGTAGACTCAGGCCTGTGTTGCTGATCCCGTTTCTTTACTTTCTGCCATCTGGCTGCAAGGAACATTATGAAACAGCATGAGTGTGATCTTTGATATTTTCTTCACCACTGCTGACCACACCCAATACACCAAGCTTTGTGCAGTTACATCACCTTGGCTTTGCGTTGCTGCAGTGTCTCAGTTTGTGAACTGTAAGCTGCAGAATTAACACAGGATATGCATTGTGCAACAGCAGGTTTAGTTATGATCAATTTAAAAATGCTGAAGGATTTTTTTTTAACAAACTCACATTTTAAAACTTTTTTATTTAGGTTGGTAAAAAGAGAAGAAAGAAAATAATAGTAATACGGACAAGCTCACATTACCAAAGAGATCAAACTTATTAGAATAAAGTTTGGCTTACTGCTCAGATTTAATCATCAACAATGTAAAAACACAAAGGTAACACACATTCAGAAACAATATTCAAGTTATTTATCCTAAGCTAACTTATCTCTGCCCAGACATAACCTCTGACTTTAGTCATCCTTACTAACCAGGCAGTCTCCACCTGTGTTGTGGTCAGAGGGGCTTTTGCAGCATTTCCTGGTGAAACTGCAGCGTTTGTGGGGAAAACCAGGGAACTGTCAGCTAGCAGCTGAAGGAGTGTCGTTTCATCTGGGGAAATAAAGGTGCAGGCTGCTTGGCTAGTGATGGGGTCAGCTTGAGGGGCTGTTGCTTGTTCTCTCTCTCAGGAAGGTGGGATAAATAAAAAGTGAAGTGTCTAAGCTGTTCTCTTTTTATCTCTGAGGCTGGAGCAAAAGGAGTAGAGGGAACATCAATTCAGTAACACAGTCAGACGATGTCTCTGTTTGGGGAACCTACGATTCAAAGTGACACTGGAGTCCCAGGAGAAAGATGCCTCTTTCTCCTGGGACTCACAGTCTTATTACCAGTCTCTCTGTTCCTTGTGGTCCAACATATGCATAGCAACCAAACCATGGCTATAATCACAGAGGGATCTGTCAACTTAAGAGAGGAAGCTTCACTCATCCAGTGAAAATTTGCTCTGTGTCTAACTGTGTGTTGAATCATTACAGTCAGAGGAAACCTGAGGTTATGCTTAGGTTGTGCTGCAGTCTGAATTTTTATTGTTGTGATGGTTCTGTCTCTCTGCTGAGTACTTTAGTGATATGGTTGTTGTAGTGGAGAATCAACTTTTTCCAACTAAAGAGCTTTGATCTATGGCAGCGCAGTGTGTCTAAAAGGCACATAATGTTCCCTGTTGGTATAGCAGAGTGTTTGAACTCTCAGTTGATCTTCACATCACAGTTAGTAAACTCACTGACTGCCAGAGAAGAGGAAAATATCCCAAGCATGTACTTTCATTTCTTAAAGGAACATGATGTGCAAAATCCTGACATTTCCTTGTTCTATTTATAGTTCCCACATAGTGTTAAGTTTAAGAAAACTACTGCAGAGCATTCGGTGCTAATCCTTCCTCCTGGCCTGAAGCAGATGATCAGAAACATTGTGAGTTAACTGGGATGATATAAGACAGCAGCTTCTGCTTTCTGGTTTAACGGTTTCCTCATTTGCTGCTTCAAACGCTCTGTGAAGTCAGCTCAGGCTCACTGTGGTTAGACGTCAAACACAATCTTCACACTTTGTGTCTCAGTCAAGTCAGAGCAGAAAAAAACAAGTGATACATTTACTGATCCACTGAGCTGCTGTGTAAAATCTGTGTACAAACATGTTCATCCACAGAATTTATATCAACTCTGATGTTCTCTTTGCAGTTGACCAAATAAAGTTTGGACGTCCACTGAGAAAAGTCACAGAGCCTTATCCTGACTTGGTAATGCATTCTGACTGCTCTGCTCCTGATGACATATGTGGCACTTCATTAGCATGACTGATGGCTGTGTTTTTGCTCTGCTTTCTGCAGGGCTCCTATGATGACTGGAGCATGTCTGGAGATGAAGAGAACTCACCGTAAGTTGTTTTGTTCCTTTTAATCCTTATTCCGTATTAAAACATATCGGGGAAAGTCATTTTTTATTTAATGTGCCTTTACCTGACAAAGTGATTTTTTCTGAATGAAACTAGCGGGGAAAACACTGTGGAAGACGAATATTTCTTATCCACTTACAGTATATATTTTTATTGTTTAGTGTGTTTTATACACATACAGATAATGGTTTGTTTATTTTCAGAAGACAGTCAAATGTCTTTATTACATAATTTAGCTGGTTATCACAGAAAATGTTGTTTAAGTCTTGGGATTTTTAAAACATCAATTTAAAGAGGTTACTGTTTAAGTTGGCCGTACTGTTTCAGAACAGTTACAGTTTCAGGGTCTGTTCTGAAAACAAGCTGAGTCATCGGGTCAGTGACTGCAGGAATGACCAAACCTATCCTGTGTTACGCCTGGGAATGTTTCTTTATTTCAGACAATTCTTGCTCCAATCTGTAGTCATGCACTTTGTCAGCAATGAAACTGTTCCCTATGAATACACACGCATGACCAGGTAGAATGTAAATAAACTGACCAGTTTTAGTTGATCCAGTTTTAGTGACCAAAGCTGATGTTCCTGCAATTAGCCAAAAACAGGGACAGGAAAAAACCCAAGAGAGCTTCAAATAAATACTACAGCAACAACAGTATCTTACTTTGAGCAGCCTTTGAAGGTCCACACAGAAGTATTAATAAGAAACATTATTTTTTGTCACCCCAAATCATATTCTGTTCATATGGAATAATTATGTTTACTCCTGTTTGGTTCAATACTACGGAGCCCCTAAGGGGACATGGAGAAAAAAAAAAAAGGAAAGAAATCCCGACTTATTATCGCGAGATCCCGAGAAACTAAGTCGAGATCTCGAGATCCCGACTTATTATCGCGAGATCCCGACTTATTATCGCGAGAACCTGTCTTATTATCTCGAAACAACGACTTGTTATCTCA